TCCTTTGTAGAATCGCTCTTTCCTACTCTTAGTCCATATGATTTGGATGGAGTAGGCCCCTGTGGGCTCTCAGAACATTCCCTCTTCCTGGCCACAGTGATTGACTCTGTTTGGGTCACATAGTCATGAACCAGAGAGAATCAATGAAACTCCTGCTGGAAATGCTGGGAGAAAGATAGATACTCTTTCCATCTAGACTTGAACCTAGAAGGATGTGAAGCTGAGTTTCTAAAGCCTTTGCTCCATGAGAAGGAGTCAAGAATAAGTTCATCGTAAAGGAGATGGAGCCTGATGATATCATTGGAGCACCTGGTTCCAGCCAAGCCTGAAGCCACTGTGAGTCCAAAATTTCCTTTTTTTGTTTAAATCATTCTGGAAATAAGATTCCTAACTGGCACAGTTGGACAGACCACCCTGAGGGCTGTGTTCATGGCTGGACTTCAACAGTCCAGAAGACAGTTAATAACGAAAGTCCTAAGACTCAAAACCCCATCATGTGAGTAACAGTTGAGAGGGGTGGGTAATTTCAGTCTGCAAGAAAAGTTACCTTCAGATATGTGGACAGTGGTTGCTCCAATTATCTATAGCTAGGCAACAAACTGGGCTTCCTTGGTGGCCTAGATGGTAAAGAAGCTGCCTACAATGCAGGAGACCCAGGTTCTACCCCTGGGTCAGGAAGATCCCCTGGAGAAGGTAATGGCAACCCACTCCAGTATTCTTGCCTGGAGAATCCCATGGACTGAGGCACCTGGTGGGCTACAGTCCATGGAGTCGCAAAGAGTTGGACACGACTGAGTGAGTAACTTTGATTTGTGCAACCAACCACCCAAAACTTTGCAAGTTAAGACAAGAACCGGTTTATTCTCTTTCTTGGTTTTGCGGGTCAGGAATTTGAGAAGGGCTCATTTGGGTGATTCTTTTGTTTCATGTGAGGTCACTTGGCGGCATTCAGTCGGTGGACCAGCTGGTCTGGCGCCGACTCACGTGTCTGGCACCCTCACAGACAGGGCTAGAGGGCTGAACTCAGCAGGAATTAAAGACCAGAGCTCCCTCTTGTGGTCTCTTCAGCATGTGGCCACAGGGCAATTAGGTTTCTTACATTTGGCTCTGGACGCCAAGGGTGAAAGTCCCAAGAGACTGGAGCGTATCTGTGAGTCTCTTAAGTCCTGAGCCCTGAAATTAGCACAGGTCACTTTCACCACATTTGATCGGTCAAGAAGCCACAGATTTGAGGGGTAAGGATGAAGACCCCAGGACTTGATGGGAGGAATGAACGTTTGCAGTTATCTCTAATCCGCCCCAGTCGTCATGGAGCATAATATTGAGCACCTACTATGCATCAGAACACTCTGAATTGACTTCGCTTAGACCTCAGCACAGTCCTTCAGCACTGATGCTGTTCGTCTCTCCATTGTACAAACGAGGCACTGAAGAGTTGTACTGTGGCCCGCTCTGGGCCACACAGCTGGAAGTGGTAGCGTGGGGATTTGAACCCAGGACTCTGACTCCACAACTACGTGTTTATGCCATACCAAAAAGAAGAAATTAGACTGTGCTCTGTGGTCCCAAGGGCAGAACCAGGAATAAAGATTCTGTTCTGGGCAGGAAAAGGCCTCTCTGGCCATTAGAGCTGGTGACGACGAAGGGACGGCCTAGGGAGATGCTTTCCCGTCACCATGGCAGTAGGAACAGAGGCTGATGGATTCTGACAGATTAGCTGGTGGGATAGAAACAATATATGTCTCATGAGAAGATCATCAACATTATGGAGGTGATGAACTGGCCTACCTCTTTCAGGTCTGTCTCCAGATCACTGATGCCCTGGGCACTTCTGTCACCACCATCACACACCTGCTCACCGAAGACACCCATATATATATATAGTTTATGATTAGCATTATACTACATGTACATCTTGGTTTTTTCTCCACTAACTGATAAGTTATAGTGTTCTTTCCATAGCAGTACCCAGAGCCTTAGAGCATTCTTTTTATTAGACATTCATATGACCAATTTTATACTTCTCTCTTGAAGGATATTTAGCTTGTTTTGAGGCTTCTGTGGATACCAATGATGGGCAGTGAAATTCCCAGGTTGAAGCTATGTGCGTTTTAAATTTGAGTAACTACTGTTAAAATACCCTCCGAGATTCTGCTTTTGATTCTTTTGGGGTATATACCCAGAAGTGGAATTGCTGGCCATAAGATAATTCTATTTTTATTTTTTTGAAGAACCCTCAGCTTACATTTTCTCCAGTGCTGCACAAGGGTTCCAATTTCTCCACATCCTTGTCAGCAGTTGCTATTTTCTGGGTGGTGGTTGTAGTTTCAATTTTGTTTTTTGATAGTGGTCATCTGCTGTAGTCTCAATGTTTGTGTCCTCTGGAGCTTTTGAGAGGTGCTTAGGTCATGAGGGTGGAGCTCTCATGAACAGGGTTAGTGCTTCTATAAAAGACACCCCACAGAGCCCCTAGTCCTTGCCACCATGTGAGGATGCGAAGAGGAGACTTTGACCCAGAAAAGGGGCTTCACCCAACCATGCGGGCACCCTAATCTCAGACTTCTAGCCTCTCAAACTGTGAGAAACAGATTTCTGCTGTTGGTAAGCTGCCCAGTCTGTAGTATTTTGTTATACCAGCCCAAAGGGACAGACACTATCATAGTGGGTATGAGGTGATTTAGCTTTGTTTTGATGCTTTTTGTAACACAAAGCAAGCCAGAAACAGAGGAAACAAGTGTGTTAGGTTTTAGTCAGACAGCCTGGGTTCAACTCCTGCCTCTGCCACCTTCGAGCTTCATTACTAAGTTGTGCCCAACTCTTTCGCAACCCCATGAACTATAGCCCGCCAGGCTCCTCTGTCTGTGGAATTTCTGAGGCGAGAATTCCCTTCTCCAGGGTATCTTCTCGACCCAGGAATCGGACCCATCACCTGCTTTGGCAAGCAGATTCTTTACTACTGAGCCACCAGGAAAGCCCACCATCTTTTAGTTTTGTGGCCTGTTAAACACAGGACAGCAGGCTCAAAATGGAGTTGCTTATGCTAAGCTCCATGTCACCAGAGACTTTGGCTCTCCAGAAATGGAATCTTTAACCATACAGGAATCACCTGATCAGCACTAGTTAGGTAATCTACCTGAGAAAGTCCTGCCACCCCCTAAAGGAAAGTAACTGCAATAACCAACCAGCTTTTCCACCTGTTATAACTTCCTTGTTTCTTGCTGGCTATAAAAGTCTTCTGTTTTGTGCAGTTCTTCAGAGGTCCTTTCTATCTGCTACATTCAATGCTGCTCAGTCTGAGTAGGTATTTGCTCAAATCAACTCTTAAAAATGTTAATATGCCTCAGTTTATCTTTCAACAGATCACACACAAATTTTACCCCAAGCTCTATTGGCCCATCTGTAAAATGGGTAAAATAGTCATACCATTCTTCAAGAGTTGTATGGATCAAGTAAGATAGTGTCCTTAATAGAATTTTGCACAAGATAATCTAACATTTATTAATCTTTTTAGTGTCTTATTTAAGAGAGTCACCCCCAGAATTCCCTGGTGGTCCAGTGGTTAGGACTCTGTGCTTCCACAGCTGGGGACATGGGTTCCATCCTTGCTGGGGACTAGGATCTCACGAGCCATGGGGTGAGGCCAGAGGAGAAAAAAGTCATCTCCACCCCATAGTATTCATCATACTCCTGTTTTCCTCTTCCAAATTCTTTTATAGCTTTGATTTTGCTCCTGGGAATTTAAGTCAATTGAAATTTATCTGATAGGCACAAGGGTAGGCAGTTGTTTCAACACTTTTCACTAACTAGTGTATCTGTTCACCACTGATTTAATCACCTCCTACTTGCAGCTGCACTGGAGTCTATTGTTGAATCATCGTTTCTGTCCAACTGATCTATTCCTGAGCCGACACCACTTCCGAGAACTTTATAACAAGTCCTACCACGGGGTTAGAGCAGGCCTGTTTTGTTGTTCCAAAACTGGCTTGGCTTTTCTTGTACTGTTTTTCTTTTCAAAACTCAGCCGGTTAGGTTAAAAAAAAAAAATCCTGGTGGACTTTTGAATGGACCGTCCTGATGAAGTAACTTGGAGGAAAACTGACATGTTGACAGCATTCCATTCTCTTAGCTGGGAAACTTTTCTCTCCCAGGACTTTTTTTTCTATTCAACCCAGGTAGACCAGAGTGTTCCCTCTCATCAAGGATTGCGCCACAACCACTGTGGATTAAAGCTCTCAGGACCCTACCTCCCCTTGAAAAAGGAAGGAGTTATATACAAATTGCCAAATGAGAAGGTTTGAAAAGGAGTGGAACAATCTGTTTGAGGGGAGACCGGCTATTCAGGGTGGTGACCTTGGAAACGCAGATGCCATTTGGCCAAGACAGGCGCCGGGGCCTCCTGGCCTCGCCTCTGATGACCCCGAAAACAGGCAGCTCTGCAGGAGTGGCTAGAAAACTGCAGAAACCGCAGGCCTTTGGGGCTGGGGTCTGGTTTTAACTTCCCCCAACCCCATTGGCTTCCCAGGTGGGTCAGTGGTAAAGAATCTGCCTGCCAAGCAGGAGATGCAGGTTCGATCCCTGAGTCGGGAAGTTCCCGTGGAAGGGGAAATGGCAATCCACCGCAGTATTCTTGCCTGGAAAATCCCATGGACAGAGGAGGCTGGCAGGCTACAGTCCACGGGGTTGCAAAGAGTTGGAGACGACTTAACGAAAACAGCAACAACAAGTCCCATTGTACAGATGCAGACTATGAGGCTGAGAGGCAGAAAGAGACAGACCCATGTGAGTCTGGTCTCCCCTCTTTCCCCAGAGTTCAGCTTGACTTGGCAGGAGGGTCATGTGCCATCTGAAGATGGGGAGGATGTCCTCCCAGTCCCAAACAGACCAGTGTCCAATCTCCAGATTTTATCTTCCAACTGGGAAGTTCTGATGAGGCTCCTTCCACCCCCACCCCCACCCTCACCCTGGCGTCCTTCCCCTTTAAGAAGAGACCAGTCCTTGGCTTATGCCATTCATAGGATTTATTGTCACTTGCCAATAGTTTGCAGGAAAGGGGACACACCGCTGGGCCTCGCCACAGGGCAGGTGGCACTGGGCCACCCCGCACTATTTACACACGTTTCACGCAGGACGGGGGGCCGTCCTCACTGGCAGCAGCTACACTTCTCCTCCTCAGCTTCGGCCCCCTCTCCACTTTTGCACACACAGTCCTTGGCACATTTCTCACACTCTGCGGGGCAGCAGGAGCAGCAGCCTGCAGATAAAGTGGGGGATGCCCAGTCTGATGGCCTGTCCTCCCCAATCTGTCCCCATCAAAAAGAAGGGGGGAAAGGAGGGGTGCCAGAGGTCACTGCCCCCCGCTTCCTAGTCTTACACCTGGGTTGACTCAGGGTCTCTGGTGTGTCAGCTACACACTGGGCTCCCATGGAAGAAGGGTACCCAGTAACTAGCCCACAGCCCCATCTATGAGCCCAGGAGTCCTGGGGACAGTGGAGTGAGGCCCACGCTAGGGGGAACCAGGCCTTAAGGAGAAAACATCTAGGGGAAATGACCTTGAAGGACAAACCTGCAGAAGCAGATATGGTACAAGCGTAGGGGGTCCAGGAGATTCGGAGAGGTGTATGCCTAGTCTAATACACAAACAAGGGTGCCTTCCCCCTGCGTATTACACTGCTTTGGGGGAGATTCAGGGGAGGTAAAATTGAGGGGATCCACACAGGCCTGAGAGGGCCGAAGGGACCCCGACTCCAGAGCTAACCCCTGGCCTCACTAATGTTTCCCCAGGAGCTGGAGGCCTGGAGGGGAGCGGTGAGCCCGGGAGAGCAGTTCCGCATCCTAACTGCCCATTAGAACCTTCCGGGAATGCACAAACAATTGCCCGGGCCCAAGGTAACAATCATTGAAGGAGTGCCCCTGCAACTGAGCCTTCAGGCCTCTGGGTGGTTCTGTTCCCGTCAGAGTCAACGCAGTGTCACAGCCGGCCGAGGGGCCGCTCCGTGCCTACGTGGACAGGCATGGTGCTCACGGGAGGACCGGGGGGGGGGGGGGCGCGCAGAGGGGTCCCCGCACTCACTCTTCTTGCAGGAGGCGCATGTGCAGCCCTCGCACTTGCAGGAGTCAGAGCAGGTGCAGGAGCCGCCTAGAGGGGGAGGGGCCACAGGAAGGGTTAATGGGGTAGAACTCGGGGTGGGGCCAGGCCTAAAAGGAGATGGGGTACCCAGCCTCAATGCCCTCTGAATATAGCCATGCCCATCCTTCAGGAGATTCAAAGTGGGAAATAAGGGTCCCTTCCCCCAAATGTCCTTGAACAAAGGCATAGGGTTCTTTTCAAGTAAAGGGGCGCACGGTGCCGAAGGGGGGCGGGGGCTCACCAGTAGGGCAGGGGCAGGTCTCAGGGTCCATGCCGGAGAGGAGCGACCGCCGAAGGAGGCGAATCGGCTTCTAGGGCAATTGGATGCACTGGCGGCAGCAGGTGGCGAAGCTTTTATAGCCCCAGGCGGGGGCGCGTTGGCACAGTCTTCTAGGCGCGCGCGCCTCCTCTCTCCATCCGCGAGCACAAGCCGGCGCGGAGGCGCGCATTGCGGCACCGCTCCCCGCACCCCTGCCGTGTGTCCCCCGCCGTGTGCACGGCCGGGGAACTGCCCCCACCCCACCCGGCTGCCGTCTGCACAAGAGCACAAGCCGGCGCGGAGGCGCTCATTGCGGCACCGCTCCCCGCACCCCTGCCGTGTGTCCCCCGCCGTGTGCACGGCCGGGGAACTGCCCCCACCCCACCCGGCTGCCGTCTGCACAGTCGGGTGCGCGCGCAGTCACGTACTTCCCGCCGTGTGCACAGGGAACACTCCCCTCCCGCCTTTCTGCCCTTGTCCACCGCTGCAGCCGGCTCCCGGCAGAAAGTGCACGCTTCCCTCCTCTGAAAGCGGAGGGAGAGCAAAAGGCTTTGTTTTCGAGTCCTATCCTGCTTCTCATCCTCTCCACCGCCGTTATCCCTCATTCTGGGTTTCTCAGGGTGCGCTGAGTCATTCCGCTGCTCCAAGACTCCATGTCTGATGGGGAGAGAACACATCCCACCCCCACCCAAGGGCCCTCACAAACTGTCTTGGGAAGGACCTGCTCTGAGCCCTGCAGCACTGGACTGGGGTGACCAGCGGGAGTTTTGGGGGGAGGGGTGGTGATGCTAGGTGGCTGCATCTCAGCTTCAGAGGGAAGCCTCTCTCCTTTTATCTGTTCCTCCTGCTGAGTTTCTCAGAATCCCTTGTGCCTGCGGTTGGCTGAAAACTGGCCCGGCAAGAGATATCTATGTCAAATCCTGGAATCTGTGATTATTACTTTATTTGAAAAGGGAGGCTTTGCAGATGTAATTAAATTAAGGATCTTGAGATGAGATCATCCTGGATTATCCACATAGGCCCTAAATCCAGTGATGAGCATCCTTAGAAGGTCCACAGAGACAAGAAGAGGAGGGGGCGATGTGACCACGGAAGCAGGGACTGGAGTGATGGGGCCAGCAGCCACAGAAGCTGGACACAGAACAGTTCATGGCCTTTGTTATAAGACTGTGTCCTCACTCAGCAAGTCAGGACACTTAATCCCTAGGAAATGGAGGAGCAAAGGACAGCATTAGATAACTGGCCAAGGGTTAAAGGAGGAGGAGAAAGGGTTGCTGATGGTGTTTCAGAAAGGGCAGCCACATGGTGACCCCACCCCTGCCCCCCACACACGGGGAGGCCTCACTTCTTCTGCTTGTAAGCACCTTTCACATGGTTGTATTGTGCCTCACAGAGGCAAGGCTTATCTAGAGACAGTAAACAAACAAAAATGTTCCCCAGGAACCCTGCATTAAGAGGCTTCCACGGTGCCTCAGCAGGTAAGGAATCTGCCTGCAATGCAGGAGTCGTGGGTTCAATCCCTAGGTTGGGAAGATCCCCTGGAGGAGGAAATGGCAACCCACTCCAGTATTCTTGCCTGGGAAATTCCATGGACAGAGGAGTCTGTCCGGCTGCAGTCAGTTCAGTTCAGTTCAGTTGCTCAGTCGTGTCAGACTCTTTGCGACCCCATGGACTGCAGAACGCCAGGCTTCCCTGTCCATCACCAACTCCCGGAGCTTGCTCAAACTGATGTCCATAGAGTTGGTGATGCCATCCAACCATCTCATCCTCTGTCATCCCCTTCTCCTCCTGCCTTCAGTCTTTCCTTGCATCAGGGTCTTTTTCAGTGAGTCCCTTCTTTGCATCAGGTGGCAAAGTATTGGAGTTTCAGCTTCCACATCACTCCTTTCAGTGAATATTCAGGACTAATTTCTTTTAGGATTGACTGGTTTGATCTCCTTGCAGTCCAAGGGACTCTCAAGAGTCTTCTGCAACACCACAGTTCAAAAGCATCAATTTTTCTGCCATCAGCTTTCTTTATAGTCCAACTCTCACATCCATACATGACTACTGGAAAAACCATAGTTTTGACCAGACGGACCTTTGTTGGCAAAATAATGTCTCTGCTTTTTAATACGCTGTCTAGGTTAGTCATAGCTTTTCTTCCAAGGAGGAAGCGTCTTTTAATTTCATGGCTGCAATCACCATCTGCAGTAATTTTGGAGCCCAAGAAAATAAAGTCTGTCACTGTTTCCATCGTTTTCCATCTATTTGTCATGAAGTGATGGAACTGGATGCTATAATCTTAGTTTTCTGAATGTTGAGTTTTAAGCCAAATTTTCCACTCTCCCTTTCACTTTCATGCATCCCAGGCATGCTCTGCTACAGTCATGGGGTTGCAAAGAGTTGGACTCGACTTCGCAACTACACAACAACAACCTGTTGCCTCCTCAAGAATGGAAGTGCCTCCACAAGTTCTCCCAAAGAGACCTGATCACCTCTCACACCCAACTTCCACTTTTAAAAAAAGAGATACTAAGAGAGGCTGGCACCTGGGACTGTCTACCAGAGTGCTTGCACTTGAACCTGGACAAATGTCTCTTCATTTACAAAGAAACTGTATGAGACTAAAAATAACCATGAATGCACAGTTGGGGCAATTAGGAACAATGAAATACAGGAGGGCCACAAACTGACTGCCATTTTGGAGGGGCCCAGAGTAGATGCCCTGGAGGAGGCCTTAACCCACTCTAGTATTCTTGCCTGGAGAATCTCATGGACAGAACAGCCTGGCGGGCTAAAGTCCATGGGGTCTAAAAGTCAGACACGACTGAAACAACTCCACACACAGCAAAATCAGGGTACTGTGCATGATCGCTGTGCACAGCACACCTAAGCCACCCCTCTGGCCCAGCCAGAGCCGCCCCTAACCTCATCCCATTTAAGGAACCAGCCCACCCTCCTGGGAAAGCGAGCAAGGACACCTGTTTCTTGTTCTCACTCTGTCATGCTGCAGCCTGAACCCAATAAAGCCTTGCCTAGCCTCTTATCAATTTCTCTTGATTAAAGGGTCAATACCTGTGTAGGATTTGCAGCCCTCCCCCTTTGGAGGTGGTCCTGAGGTTGCTTCCCAGGAAGAAGGAGCGACTGAGACTCGCCAGGACAGACCCAGCCCTACTGCATTTCCCCTGGGCAAACCTGAGCCTCTTCTAAGTCGGAGCTGGATAAGCACTTGAAAATGTTGGTTGGAAACTCTGCACCCCCAAAAATATTAGCTTCCAGGGGGCCTCCAAATGGCCTCAGACAAGGAGCAAGCTAAGCTTTCTCCAGGCTTTGCTATGTGTTGGCTCACGAGTCTTCAGTTTCGATGAAGTTGAAGTGAAGTTGCTCAGTTGTGTCCGACTCTTTATGACCCCATGTACTGTAGCCTACCAGGCTCCTCCATCCATGGAATTTTCCAGGCAAGAGTACTGGAGTGGGTTGCCATTTCCTTCTCCAGAGGATCTTCCCAACCCAAGGATTGAATCCGGGTCCCCTACATTGCAGGCAGACACTTACCATCTGAGCTACCAGGTAAGCCCCTGATAAAGTTGAAGGAAGGCGGGGAGCCGGCCTGCTCAAGGCCCAAAAAGGCTCTGGGAAAGCCTTGAAAGAGGCCATTCCCTGTCCCACCACCCCATGATAAAGTAGTAAAACATTTGCCGGGTCTCCTTTGTTCTTCCTTGAGAAAAACATAGTAGTGACCTTCACTTAGTAGTTTATCTTGGAATGCCAAAAACAAGATGTAAGCTTCTGCAATCACTTAAGACAAAGAATTGTATTGATGTGACAAACACCAGATGGCATTTTTATGAACTATGTTTTCTGCTTGTACTAGCATAAAGGTAGCTGTTTTACTCAATAAAATCCCTGACTTGCCTAAAGAGCATTCAGTCCTCTCGACCCCATTCTTTACTATCGGCTTTTTTCTCAGGCTTCCGTGCTGTTGCGGTCGGGACTTGTTCTCTTTGCCGGTTGGTCCCGGCAAAGGAAGAGGAAAAAGGAGGAAGAAAGAAAAGTCCAAAGAGGAGACACTATCATCTCCTATCAGACATGACTTAGTGACTTTAGTCACTAAGTCAACAACCCAAAGGTATTTAACGTGAAGCCAGGTGGCTTTTCAACAGTGGCTTCAGGCAATTTCAATTCAAGAGCTCACCACCTCGAGCAATGCTGTTTGTTTCTTTTTGGTTTTGTTTTGCCTAAGGGCATTCAGGCCTTAGACTTGTCTGGCCTGGGCTCTAACCTTGACAGGACTCAAGGTCTCGCTATCTGGAAGCTTTAGTGCCAGGTTAGGTGTACAACCTAACACACTCAAGCCAAGCTACCTGCCTGCCATTTCCCCTCGGACTACTCAGATTTCCTCAGAAAGAGGTTTCAGAGCTGGGAAAATCAGCTCTCACCCTGACGGCTAATTTTATCAACCTGACTGGGCTCAGGGGTGTCCAGAAAGCTGATTAAATGTTATTCCTGAGCTGTCTGTGAGGATGTTTCCAGAAGAGATTAGCATTTGAAACAGAAGACTGAGTGAAAACTGAGTTAACCATTGTGGGTGGACGTCATCCAATCTATTGAGGGTCTAGGTAGAACAAAGGGGCAGAGCAAGGATGAATTTGCTCTCTGCCCGAGCTCAGACATCCATTTTCTCCTGCCCTTGGACTTCTGGTTCTCAGGCCTTTGGACTTGGACTGCGACCATAGGCTTCTCCATTCCCAGCCTTCCAGACTTGGATTGAATTTCACCATTGGCTTTACTGGATCTCCAGCCTGCAGATGGCAGATATTGGGACATTTCAGCCTCCCTAATCCAGTAAATCAATTCCTAAAATTAGTCACTGTCTGTATGTGTAGATCACATATGGTTCTGTTTCTCTGTAGAGTCTTAATATATCACCCAAGGGTGATATCTTAATATCACACCCAAGGGTGCCCAGGATTTTGAGAGATCTGAAAGCCACAACATCCTTCTGAAACACCCTCCTGCCACCCACCCACCCACCCCAAATTCTTCACAGAACCAGGCTTCTCATCCTTCTTTCTCAGGTTCTGTGACCTCCAAAGAGCATTTCACGTAGGTGCATCACTCCAGAAGGGTCCCCATTACCTTGCCTTCATTTCCCTCTGACCCCTTGTTAATTCTCACAGTGTAAATTTATTTTGTTTGTGTTTCCTGCACCTATGATGCTCCTTC